GTAAAAAACAGTAATTACAATAAGGCAAGTACATCCATGAACGCTCGGGTATATATGTATATATAATTATTATTCTACACCAAGGACTATGTAAATTTTTCTGGAATTCTTCTACACATATTTAATACATGTACAGGGGAAGCCTCGAATGTTCTACCATATGCACGGTATGCGTTCTTACGATGTACATGCATACAACATGAACATACATGTATGTGTGTACATGCATGTACGATGCACACAACACAGTAAAGTATTTCTCTTCTCACATTAGGCTAGTTAACCAAGGCTCCTACATATGAAACTTGTATAATCAATACCAACACAATTCGATGCTTGGCATTCTTAAGTTTTCTGCACAAACTTCAGACAACGGCTCTCAATTTTTCAACCTAATGCAGCAACAGTTCTACATGTGTGTTGTCCAATTCATTGTGAAATCAAAGGGAAAAAATTCACAGACCTTGCCCGTACAATGTTTACGATTAAGAAAAGACCAAGTCTGAGTTTTGGGTTTCGCTAGGCCTCAAATGAAATGAAGCCAGAAGGTTGGACAAAGCTCAGTGAAAAGAAAACCCAATCATACATGGGGTACATGGTACATGCATGTTTGGGTTGACCAAAGTCTGTGCTGGTGTGGTTCCATCTGGTCTGATGCGTCTGGAAGTAGTTTAAAATATGGGAATAAGTATGTGCTTGGCCGGTGCGTTTAAGACTCGCTCAGGAGAATGGATGCATTTAGTCTCCTGACCCAGTCTTTAATATAAGTTTAAGACCAGCCAAGCAAATATTTATTCCCATTCATAAATACCTTTTATAGTCAGTCAAAGAAGTCAACATATGATGGATTTCAAACGAATTTTACTTTCATTTTCCTGCACACCCCTGTCCATTTTATGGTATATTCCTCTGGCAAGTTGTCCAATAGAATCTCCTTATATGGACTTGGTGGGCATGGCGAGCCGAGTGCACAGGGACTCTTGACCAATCAGAATCCATTGAACTGTCTCGCATCCAGGTACCAACGCGTGATTAACGCAGCGGGCACAATCACTTCTCAGCGGGCATTATCATATGTTAATCCATAGTCAAGTTGCACAATGTTGAATGGGGAGATTGTCTGAGGTATTTATAAAATAGAGATATTGTGCTCTACAATGAAACCTCAGGTTTTGGGACAGCCTGTGCCTTAAACTTCGATGACATAATACCTGAAATAAATCTCTCATCTGACTGATTAGTTGTCAATCAAGTGCCACAGAATCACTTGTCCCAACACAGCGTAACAGCCGCCATGCAGAAAGTGAATAATCTAATCCACCTTCATAAGGAATTTCTGAACTCTACACACGTACATGTAATGCAGATGTTTATTCTGGTGCCATCTTTACAAGATTAAATCAGGTGATGCAGAGATGATGACATTTAGCTACACTTCCTTTTACTTAAAAAAGGAAGATAGCCTTCCATCTACGGTACATGCCGTGCTACAAATGTATGTATCAAGTGTATATACATGTACCTGTACGTGTACATACATTTAAAACATGAACAGACTACATCCTCGATTGCAATAGCATACAGCCTGCATACCATTAACTCTGTCATAACTATGCACAATTTATAAATGCAATATAAACACATGCATGCAATTCATTTTGATGTTTATGTATGTCATCTGACATAAAATGCATGCCGACGTGCATGTACATGAATACAAAAGCTGTGGAGAACATATGTTCAAAGGCAAAAGAATGCCGTACTGAGAAATGTTAACATGAGAAATGTGGGTAGGGAATTTTACGGTTAACAGGTGTTTTCTGCATGTGCGCATCGCGATGGATGTATGTTGGTGCTTTAAGCTTCCACTGATGGGTGAATTTATGACTCTCCTTCACAATAAAATAAAAATTGTTTTAAATACATTTACAAGTACATGTGTGTTGGTGATCCTGTAATCTAAACAAAAATCATCTTCATCTCTCCAGCAGAATGATAATTAAGACGTGCTGTTGCACTCCCATCGTAGAGGCCTTAACTAATACCGGACTGCTCTACAAAACAAAACACTTAGGTCTATGTATCTCTAAAAGAATTTGCACATTTGTGAGTGGGTATGACATTAGAGAGCCCAGTCAGTGTCACACAACATAATACATGTACATGTACACACACAAAAAATCAACTGCTATTGTAAAAATGAAAAATTACAGTTGTGCCAAAATTCTTTCAAATAAATGTTTAACCACTGCCACACATAAATTTAAATGTTCATGTATTTCCCTAAATCCAATCATTCTTTCCATTTCATTAATTTCTTTTTTCCATTTGACAGAAAATGTGAAAAAAAATATCAACCAACTGATAAACTGTATGTTCCAACTTTCTACCATTAGAACCACGTTTCCAAAAATAAAAATTTTAGCATTTTTCAACCTTATAATTTCACATTGAATCCTGTTACATGTAAACGGTTAAAACAATTCAAGTAGCAGCATTATGGAAATCAAATACAAAAACCCAACACTGTATACTTTTTCTCAAAATGTATATATTTTTTGACCTGAGTGTGTAGAGCGTGTGCAATATTATATTATTGAAATTGACTGATTCAGGTTTACAGAAACATGTTTATTTCTCTTAACATTTGTTTCAAAATCTGCATGTCACAACAAACGTACATGTAAGCATACAAGATTATGTTGATTTTTTGCCATTGTACACTGAAGTGAAAAACCACTGGTCCTACGTATACATGCACTTTACACTACCTGTTTTAAGCTCCACCTCATGTCTCTTATTGACAAAACATCCTGCAAGCATTTTTTGTCATAAAAAAACAATGAAATCCTTGCCAATTAAATTCGACCACACAAAATTATACATAGCACGGATGGTATTCACAAAAGCAACATAAATAATTCAGGAATCAATCATTACCTCACGTGTAGTGCAATTGTTTTTATGCCTGCATGAATCTTCAGGACTTTGGTCATCCATGAGAGAATGAACAATTTAGCCTCGCAACTGTAGTTGCTCTAAAGCCGAAATCTGGCTTTGTTGTTCTGTGTCTTTGCATTTTTTTCAAGATTCACAAACACATTGGTCATATTGACCTTTTTTGCTTTTGGGGTGAGTAGGGGTAGGTGGGAAGTCAGGTGGATGGCAAACATACAACTTGATGTAATGAGATTTTTTCATACATGTATATTTTGTATGTTCTATAACCACCCAACCATCTCCAGCCACCCATTTCCACCCACCCTGAAAGCATTAAAAAAAAAAGGTAAACACGTCGGTTTCACACGAGAAAGGAAGGGCTGTTTGACCTTACAATGTAATGTTGCATGACATACTAGTATAGGCGTCACATGTATAGTTTAGAAATGAATTTCTACATGCTTTGAGGAAAAGTCTAAATTTTAAAATGATCATAAACCTTGGCATGCATGAATTTTATATCAACCTGTGCAACATTAAAATGATTTTTACAATATACCACTCAAACAGGGACCAGTAACGACTATAATACCCTCATGTTTAAGTTTATTAACACATGAAATGATTTCAAAAAGACAAAAAGATTTGCTGCAACATGTCCACTGGCCTACTCATTAGTGCATGAGGACTGACATTTCAGTATTTCAGTATATAGTCCTAAGTAAAGAATGCAATTGACTGATATGCCTGCAGTCACACCTGATCAAACCACAGCCAAGAAACTCCATTCATTGATGCAAGCCATTACCTGACCTAAGCCCTAGACCGACCAATCCAGTATCCCAAGCTCAGGTACGTAGTATCACTATTTTCGTCTTCAACACAATCACACTTCAAATACTATTCAAAACACTACAAACAATTTTAAACATTTTGGGATGAACATAAACCTCTTGAGGACTACAAAGACACCATCTTAGCACAATCGGAAGCCAAACTAAACGATGTTAACCCTCGCTTCAATTTTATGTTTCCAGGGCATATTTTCTTCCTCCAAGCCCCATGCAACTTAGATTTCCCCAGATTGGGAGATCTCACACACTACACACTTGCCCAAATGCCAAAATTTTATGTGAATAATGTCCAGAGTTTGAAGAGCATGAACACTACACCAACGGGGTAATAAGAGGGGCATTCAATGGTTACATTAACACGTATCAGACACAAACTCCTCAAATAAATATCTCAAAAAAAAAAAAACACGAGGCCATCTCTCAAGTAAGATTTTATTTGTATTCCACAGTTTGAGAGAAAAACATCGAGTTTCTGTATTGAATTTGTATTTACTTCACCTGATAGGGATGAACTAAAATTGGTGCCGACTGTTCTTTGAGAATACTTTATTACTGGTAAAGAATAATTTGTTTCTTGCGTATTTGTAGATTTGTATGACTTAAAGTTAAAATTATATGTATAGGCTATTCACAGCTGCTGTCAACTGTAAATTCAATTTAATATCAAAATTAAAAAATGACTAGTGGTTAGAATGTAACCTTTGGTTTTTAACAGACTTATGTTAGATCATATTTTGCATGGTAAACTGTGTATTGAACATGTTGGATGATTATAATTTGTGGTTCCCATCATGACGGGTAGGCCTACATGGGGCTTCAGTCCTCCATTTTGTTCATGTGATGTCAGTGAATCTCCCCAAGCAGACATCTGATGATTTCATCTCCATTTAGATATAATCCACAAGATCCTTGCACTGTGGCACAGCATCTCTTCCAAAGGTTTCAGGCAAACACGCTGATGGTATTTTCGCTCCATGAGGCCCTCTTTCCACACACAAATCTCGCAATTTCTTCGTCACATCACCAAAGATGGGAATGGCTGACGGCTCGACCATGTCAACATTAGCATAACAAGCCCGTAAGCTTTCACGCCCGTTCACACTAACTACACAGCACAGCATCTTTCCCGCATCAAACGAGGAATAATTCCCCTTCAAAACAGGCTCGCACCACTCCCATATTTTTTCCATTTTTTCTCCAACTTACCAAGAAGAAGTAGCTTGAGCTCTCGACGCGCATCGCGTTTATCTTTGCGTAGCTGTTTCTCAATTTCTTGGTTGATTCTCTTGGCTTCTTTAGCTTCTTCGCTCAAACAACAAGCCATGTTGAATGGGGGTTGCCGGCCAGGCTGCAATTTACTCTCTGTGGAGATTGTGACCAGCGCAGAAAAACGCCGATTTTCCACTCCTAGCACCCACAACTAGAGGCTATTCTCAAGCCGTAGCGTTCCCCAGAAATTATAGCAAATCGGGGATCCCGAATTGGCCCCGTTTGTCCGATGTAGTGCCCTGAATAAACTGGTAATTCCTGTACAATTCTGACGCCAGGAGAGTCGAAAGGGGACCTACAACGCTGGGTGTGGTGTAAGATGGGAAACGAGCAAGATTCCTACCTAGACTGGAAACCTCACCTCATGGATGACGACAAGCAATGACTGTACAATCTCTGAGATTTGATTGGTTCTTTTTTAACATGACGATTTTACCTTTCCATGGTCTGATTGGTTAGACTTTGGTAAACGCAGAATCGACATGTAAATTCAATAGGGTTGAATGTATTAATATGTAAATTTTTTCTCAGCATTTAGAGTTCATCAAGGCAAGAAACTGCCTGGACAAATCAGCCGATGTCTGACTATAAATCCAGCCATGATGGCAGTGTTCGGATAGGAATCTTACCCCGCCGGAAATATTGACATTTTTCAAAAATTCTCTCACCATATTCTCTCTTTATCCCTAAAACCCACGTATAAAATAAACTAAACTAGAACATTTACATATATCTTGCCTATTTTCCAAGTCATTTTCCTTCTATACAAGTAGAAATGCGAAAATATGCATGAAACTGTTGGAGGCGTCGGTTCCGGAAGAGCCAGAAATATCATTATGGGATGGCACTTTCCATAATGTAGCGCACGAGAGGCATATTTTTGTACGTGTGCTCTGCGTACACGCATTATAGTAGAACGGGGCATGTACTGTACACGTACGGTACATGTACATGTACTGTACATGTATTCCACATCCACCTGCAACACTGTACATGTATATAATATGCTACCGCACACACTACACATCAACCCGCATGGTTCCAAAGTAATCGGGTACATGGTTACGGTCAGCCAGGGCCCCAATCGTCTGAAGCACAGGCGTGTGAAAAAGGGCTTCCCCACATTTTGACCCTGTACTATTTTTGGCGGCAAGATAAGTTCGGAAGTGTTCAATTTGGTAATGTGTGCCAACTAATTTCCCGGACTCACAATGAATCAACTCGTTGCAACCACGTGCCCCAGCGAAGGTTATTGGCAAAAAAGTTTTTAACACTAAGTTTCATTGGTCCGTAATTTTAAGTTTTTGAGAAAGATATAAAGAGCCCTTCCCTGAATCGAGAACCATTCAGCTGCAAAGGATGATAAATATGAGAATGGTGACAGATATTTTTCTAAAACCTAAACATGGAACTGAACGAGCGCTTACAAAATCTCAACAAAAGAGCATTCATAAAACATCAAAACCTAACTACCCTTGGTGTAAAGCTGGAGAAAATTTGAGTTTTTCCGCCAAGTTCTGGGCGGTGTCGCACGAGTTGGAAATCTACTCTTGATGTTCCCTATAATCTGCTTAAAATGGTTTTCCTGCTAATTCGGGTTCTAGAATATCAATGACTTCAAAAGAAATTATATAAGGGAATTGAAGATTTCCAATTTCTGTTAACGTTATGACTCCAAGAACAGGGTTTTTTTTTTCACTGAGCGCCCTGTTTGATGAACTTGCGCCGTGATCCAACATCTCCGTTCTGTGCACGAAGAGTGCACGCAAATCTGCATTGTTAGTATTAATTGCAGTCAGTCACTCAAACAAAAAATAAAAACAAAAACACGGATCGAGTGGGGAGTACAAGCGAATGCATTTTTTTTTTCTGGGTTTACTTGAACAAGTTGGTTGGAAGGTTTGCAGAGAGTTCAGCGAAACGCTTTCCTTTTAAAAGCAACTTAATTATGTCTGTCTTTGTTTTTAAATGGGATACCTTCATGTGGTGAAATAGTATAAATTGTCTGGTGTCTGAATGTAAGATTTGTAGCACTTTGTGAATGATTATTTTTGTTTGTACACTGTTAGATTGCAAACCTTTGGTGGTCGGAAAAACTACGACTGTAATCTTTTCTAGCCTCTGCACCTTGTGTCATCTGGACAGGACGCAGTGGCGTTTCTGCCAATCAGTAAACGGCAAAACTATGCCGCGCGTATAGAATAATTCATATAGAAATTAGAATAATTCATAAATAATAATTCATAAATTGTTTTTAAGAATCTATTTCAACACCAAATGATAAACAACTAATTACTAAATCAAAAGGCCTCCCATTTTAAAAAGGTGCAGTAAAATTAATGTGCATTTTAGGGAGAATGGTATTACGAAATGTGGATAAACTTTTTGCCAAGTCTAGCCGCCTAAACAAAATGGCGGTCAAGGTTTGTAAGCAAAAGGAACAGTCCTCAGAAAAGAGAGCGTTGTGATACGTTCAGATTTAGAAGCTGTTTTGGCTCGAGAGTCCACCGCGAAAACTAACCTCTAGGCCATATGGACATACTTGACGTGTATTTATGCAGGACACTGTCAACTGTGCCATCTTTTGCGGTGCCAACATTTGTGGGAACAAAATGGCGTCATGCACGACCTTAAGTCTCAACTTTTATTTCGGACATACAGTTGTGTACACATTTTAAGTCTGTTTACCTGTCCAGAATAATAGAACCAATGCTCTCGTTTAATATCATAACAGCGAACAGACTAATAAGCTGTGTCATAATGTATGACAGCAGGACATGGGCAGGAATTGGCGTGGCTTCAGAGGGGAAGGATTTTGTACTCACCCCGCATATTTTGTGACAAGTATACTTTATCCCCCATTATGAGCCCCCTCCCCTTTTTTTCACGAGTGCCTTTTGCCCTTACTTTAGTTAATGTCGTGCAAACTACAGAAATCGTGCAAAGAGCGCCGCCTCTCATCATATATTGCTTCCGCGAGATGGGTGTGTTCCCCTCCCCCTCAATTTTACGGAGGTCGATGACTGCTTAAAAACTGTCAAAATGGCCGTTTTCACATTTACACAAGCCAAACAACCTTACCCCTCTGTTAAAGAAGCCCATAAATTTCCACTCGTTATACACGCGGAGGATTTCTCGTTATATATGATTAGGCACATTGAGTGGGATCCGACATCGCCTACGACACGTTCACTTTTATAATTTAACTTATCAATAAAGTGCATTTATCAGAGAAAAATTCAGACTTGGTTAAATATGAAATGTAAAGAGCATTAAAAATTCAAAACCAATGTAAAAACAACAAAACTGACATCGTCCAGGCCTATAAAGACTGTCCGAAAAACACCAACGAAAGACCAACTTCTTTAACCCCAATAAGCTTGAAATACGTGTAATGGTGCGATTGTCGGCGTTATGCATGTATACATTGCAACTGCTCCGATGTGAAGTCGGTTGTTCATTTGTACTATGGTAGAAGCAAGTTATCGGAATAGCACTTTCTGCACTGCTTTGTACTATTTACCCCACCGGAACGTGTGGTGTTAAATGCAACGGAAATGAAAACCCCTTCCGTCCTCGTCTATTTAATGGACAAGCTCCTTGACGAAAACAATTTGCATGTAAGATATTCTCTGCTTCATAACAAGCCGAAAACTTAAAAATCTTGGGGGGGTCCCATGTCCATGTCCCGTACCTAGGCGCCTAGGCACATTGCTGGTGCCATTTTGTGGTTTTAATTAAGGTGATTGGCGAGGGGGGCGTTAACTTATCTTCCACTGGTACCGTACCAATATTCAGAAGTCACTGATTTTACGTCAATCTGATCATGCCTAAGACATTGGAAATTCCCATGGTAATGTAATGAATCAAAGTAACTTTTGGCGAATTCCGTGCGTCAGTAATAAGCTCGTAGAGCCCGGAACTCTTCTGCGGATTTAAGAGGACAGGCTTTGAACTTTTCAAAGTAGATGCTCACTTTTGTGCAAAGGTGAAGCTCGCGTTTTTTGTGCTTCATCTCGCCTCTGGCTGTGTGCTGCATAAATGAATATTTCCCAGTCAGATACGATTGTTCCTCCTCAACCCCGTCCAGTATTATCCGGTAACTTCCGGTAAGAGTCAATGTGCGGAACAACCCTTGATCCCGATGACCCCTTCGAAAAAAAAAAAAACACTAGTAAGGCATCACGTGGTGCGCATCGTCACAAATCTTTGTAACTCTTTCCAATTTCCACATGATAGTTTAACAGAGCAAACAACAACAATAATAAAAGTAGCAGAATGAGGAAAACACTAAAGAAGACGAAAGAAACAAACTCGATTCAAACAATATTGGTTAAATTAATGTTTGGTTGGGTTAGTTTATATTTATAATTTTACCTGAAAAAAAATCGTAGTACTTTATACGGCACGTGGAATTAATCCTCACTTTCACCGCCATGTTAAGCTTTTCTATGTTTGTTCGTGAGAAACAGATTATTATTATTTATTCAGCCAAACAAGAGTGCACAAAACAGACTAGAACATGTATATTACAAAGAAAAAGACAAACATCAAACAACAAGCCAAAAGAACCCACTTTAAGGTGGCCAGGATTAATAAAAGTGAAAATAAACCACTGTAGCTCGAAAGCCAATTAATCCATCCTTAAAGTGGAACAAAAAAACATTAGAAACAGGCAGAAAACTATAATGGCAAGAGAATCACTGGGAAAAAAGAAAGTAGTATAAGAAGTATTGAAAAACAAAACCATGAATACGATGAGACTAGAATCCTTACTAGGTGGCCCAAAAATTGGGATGTTTCATAAGGGAAAAGAATGGCGATCAGAAAAAAAAAAGATCCGTTTGAGTTACAGATGTAATTGCATTTCTCAAGGATATATCAAAGGAAATCTCAATAAAATGTCAACAAAGAAACGATGTATGAAGAATAATAGAACTATAAATAGGAAGGATAATGGCTTAAAAATACAATAAAATCAATATTGATAAGATTATGGCAAGAAGTAAAGGGCACATGTCACTTAAATACCCTGAAAGTGGTCACACAAGTAGGTACTGAAATGCTTAAATGAATCCAAAGTGAGGGCATCTTTGACACTGGTTGGCAGGTTACTCCAGACCCGAGGAAATAAAGTGTTCTTAAGTCTTAGAGTTCTAGCATATAGATGGTTGAAAACAAGTGTATCCATGTGACGAGTGTTGACAGAAGTATTTAGGTTGACGATGTACCCATCAATTAATGTACCCATCAAAATGAGTAATAGAAAGACGCCTATGAATAATGCATGATTGCCAATCGGGGGTCCAAAATGGTGTGTGTATTTTTTATTTATTTTTTTAAGTTTCTCTGCAGATTTTGTCGGGTCATGAATTGTTCTTGCAGTGTATTTGCAGTCAGAAAGCAGTCTGATCACCCAAATAAAAAAAATACCCGACAACATTGTCCTCAGGTTCTCACATATTGGACCTGGGTTTCCCGAGTTTTCCCATAGACGCTGTGTATCTCACAGAGGTGGATCGGTTGGGGATCAGACCAACTAATTGCATTGCATTGCAATGTGCATTTAACACTCGATCTCTAGGGACAGAGATTAATGAGATTGGAGCAACCCACTACTCCGTAACTTCACTTGGGGCATCTTGAACACAAGAATGATTCAGAGTTAAGTGTTCTCTCTTTTTATTTCGATTTTAAGAAAACGTCGGTTTCTTATATTGTAGCGGTTGATTAACTTAATTTGCTTATCATTATTTTTACTCATAAAACCATTGTTTGTGTACTTTTTTTAAACTTGATTTAAAGGACTCCTTAAACACTTCAAAAACGTTTCCCAGGTAATCTGGTTGAAAACGCCCACAATGAGTCTTGGTTATCTTAAAGGAAAAGCAAGTCAAGATAAGCTTTGATTACTGCTTCGTGGGCTGAAAGGTTTGGAGTAACCTTTTTCAGGCTACTAACTATCCCTTCAAATCGATCGCCGTCTTTGGATCAATGTCAGCAATATCAAGAGAGAGTTCTGTCTTGGTAAGCACGCCCAACTTACCCGTCCAACTTTCTTCTAACAAGTGGCGCAAACTGTGCTGGCGAATGGAAAGAGGGGTGGGGGACGACCGGTTAGGTGTGGGGGGGGGCATCTGACACTGTCACTTGTGTTCCTCAGCCACCCTCGAAATATAAGTAGTTTTAGGATCCCTGTTTTTCCCCTGATGCTATCGTCATGTATTACATTAACTTGAAGGCTAACCTATGTTATATGCATGCCTATAAAATATTGCTTTTTTGGCCCCTTTCCCTTTCCTTTTCTATAAAAATTTGAGCCTATGGCACTGGATCTATGAAAGTATGTTACCGTTAGCTCTTCAACTCGACACTAACTGAAATGGCCGAAAGTAATTGGGATTGCTTGAAAAAATATCCAAAACGTATGAAAAGTGTCGTAATGTTAGTTCGTTAGTCTTATCGTATACGTCCATCCACTCCAATATGAAACCTTACGGTGGTGTATTCTTGAGTTAACTTTTTACTTTTTTCCCATGTACTTCTCTTGACCACTTCATCTTTGCTTAGCATAAAATAAGAACTGATGAGGTGGAAATGGTCCACTAAGGCCATCCCCGTCCAAAATAGGGGAGCGATATATCCCCCACCCCCATCCCGGATTTACGCCCATGTTTGTAAATTTCCCCAAGAGAAAAAAAAATCACTGAGTCAACACCTTATATACGAGTGGGTGTTTGTTCTAAGCTCAGCTCTGTACGAATTCGATTCACCACTACCCTCCCACTACTGTCATTTTTTCCTCAAATGTTTCAGCCGGTGTATATATAGGTAGGCAGCGAGCCAGCACACTTGAGAACATCTCAGTCTATTGAAATCAAAAGCGGGGAATTTTCCCTCATTTACATTTCTGCAACACTTTGCTTCCTCAAGAAAATGCTACCCTTGTTGGGGCTACACGGGATTTTACCCACAAAAGTCTTAATCATGGAATTATCAAATAACGGAATACTGTTTGTTACCCCTTTGCAAGAGCTCTGGCATATCTCGCGGAAGTTACGCCCGGCACGGCAAGTACACTTTTATTCGACGAAGTTCTTCAAACTTGTTCTGTGGTCTCATATGCAGTGGCGCTAGCGTAAACTTTGGGCGGCGATATATATCTAAGCGCATGCAGGAGAACTTACTTTGGGCAACAACAGCGTAATGAACTATGGGTTGTATGTTTTTACTCATTGCCAGAATTCAAAAAGGCCAGCAGCATGGGGGGGGTTGACATCCACTTACCACCAGTGTTGAGGGGGTGGGCTTAACGGAGCCACCCTTCCAGGAGCCAAAACATCTTTCCCAATGCAAAAAGCTTGTAAAAAAGCTCCCAAATGTTGCCCTACCCCTCAGAAAAGTCATGAGAAGTTACGCGAAAAACTTTCTATTCTTGGCCCCTCTGAACAGGTTTATCGCCCCCCCCCCCAGTTTGGTTCTGGATCCGATCTTGAATTACGCCACTCGTCAAGCTAGAGGCAAACTTGTCAAGTAACCTTCATGTAAAATATCGGTATCGTACCAGTCTGAATAAAAAAAGTTGGAACATTCGATCAGAACGTACACGGTATATCTCCTTTGAAGGCGGCTTTTCCACACCCTGGTGTGAGGGAGAGCCTGGTAACTCCTCGCCTCTAGAGGGCGCGGTTTGCTAAAATGAATCTTCACAACAAGACCGTAAACGATGGCGGCATACAGTGGTTTTCTGGGTAGCGAAGGTTTCTCGAAATTTGAGGAGGCCAGAAAGCTTTCGGAGGAGGTTTGCATTCACTTGTTTGGTGGATAGTGATGGTTCAGTGTAGTGTTATTGTAGTTCAGCAAAACTAGTCAATAGCTTAGAAGAAAATGGACTCAAACCTCATGAACTTAAACAGTCATCATGATTGACTAGTCACGTCCTACATCATGTCCTACCCCCAGAACTGTGGGGTCCGACGGAGCGGACGTCGGACCCCACAGTTCTGGGGGTAAGTCACGTCCGTCAGGCATTTTGCCCTAGTCTTCCTAACGTTTATACTAGTCTTTATCAGTAGCATAGCCACGGGGGGATGTGGCCCCCTCTAATTCCAGTGGCCCCCCTAAAAAAAACCGGATGAATGAAAGTCATACTGTATGGTGTACCCAATGAATATTGAAAAAGGCTAACAAAAACCACACCACTGACATGACTGAAAGCTGGTGCCCCCCCATAAGATGCTAGTGCCCCCCATAAGATGC